CGGAGTTCGCCTGGTGGATGAATAGGAGTGGATCTCAGAGATCCACAAAATCCACAACATCTCCCCTTGGATAACCACAGATCTTGAGGTGAGCCGCAAATAAAGTGGCCAAAAGACCAGATTCACGGGAGAGCCTGTTTGTGGAATCAAAGAAATGCTGAATCACCGAGCTAGAAGGAATAGGAGACAAAGTAGTCTAATTCTATCATTTTATGTCAGGTTCACAGAAAGGGAATGGGGAGTGGTAAGTCACCGACAGGCAAAATCAAAACCAGAACCTAGTCCAATGCACTTACACACATATGCAAACACACACACAGGCATGCACACACACATGTATAATAGTTGAGTTAGAATTAGATATCCTTTTTTTAACTCTCTAAATCCTAGTCTTTAAAAAAATAAAGGTGTGTGTATGTGTGTAAAAACGAAAGCAATCATTTAATTGCCAGGTCAACACCTCACCTTTGACCCGACTGCCTCACTGCTCAGCTCTGGCCACTCACAGAGACGTGGCGTCAGAGCATTTAATCAGCTAGCCATCTCTTATTTTCCTAGCAGTCCTTGGGTAAACCATAGAACCTTACTCAAATAGAGCAAAGATGACAATATTACTTAATTCGCCGAGCGAGCCGTTAGATGAGAAAACTAAATAGATCTCATTTCAGAGTGTATTAAAATGTCAAGGTTTGAAAGAAAAAGAGAACACTTCCATTTTACATCTTCCGTATTTGTGGGTGCGGAGAACCACAGCACCTACTTCAGTAAAGCCAACATACAGACACAGACCTTAGAAGAAAGTTATTGGAGCGTCCTGAATGCCGTGGCTTTCTCCTCAGGAGGACTAGAAGGCTCTAGTCTTAGTACCTACGTGTTGCACCTTTAAATGCAATCCCATTCTTCCTTGCATTCCCCCCCTCCCCCCGCCCCCCTTCTGCCGAGTGAAGGATGATCTGGGCCACTGCTGTCTGGCTCCACAGTTTTTTCAAATCTCTGCCCCCACCAGATCCTTCTTGTCCTCGCTTCCTCCACTCCCACTCAATGACACCCCTCCTGGGACACTCTCCCAATGCCAACTCAGCTTGCCTCCCCCAGAGGCAGCTCCCCAGTGAGTAGCATTTGGGTGGGGGAAGTGTGTCTGAAGTGATCAGAGACTTGCAAATCAAGTGCACACCTACCTCCAGGAGGAGAAAGGGACTGGTCACCTATGGCAAAGGAAGACCAGGCCGACTCCATTCTGATTGGTGACTATAATATGGGCAAGTCCCAGTCATCCCTGTGGGACAACGTTTGGGTGTCTAGAGATGACTCTGAGTTTTGCTCATCCAGCATCTTAACCACACAACATGTGTGGGTTCCTGAAGGATAGGCACCAAACCTATGATTTATGTGTGGGTGGGCATGTCTGTCTTCTTTTTAAACTACTATATTAATCTTTAAAAAAAAAAAAAAGGAAGAAGGAAAAGAGAATGGATTGGCAAGCCTGAAGACGGAGCTCCTCTGAGTAACAGAGTAAGACACGGTGTAGAAAATGGTGAGAGCCATTAACACAGATGTGCCTCCATGGAAATGACAGGTATTTCGACCAGAGATTCTCTCCCATGGAAGATCACAAATAGGAGAAGAAGAGAGGAAAACACGATCCTGCCTCTGATAGCATCAAACCAGTACACTGTTTAACAGCCCAACGGACATGGGAACAGGGGACAGGGGTTTCTGGTTTGATTCCTCTCCTACCCTTATACATACATAGGTCTTCTTGTTGGGAGGGGTGAGAGACCATGTCATTATTGCCTTTGCATTCCAAGATGACAGTGGCAATGGTGGGAGTTCCTTAGGCGAAGAGTTGAGTATCAACTGGCCTAACTATGGAATAAGTAAAGTGAGACAAGAACTTCACTCAGCACCCCGCTCCTTCAACACCCACTAGACTTCCACAGAACTCGGAGATGATAACTCCCATCAGGGACCTCGGTATTGACCGTCAGAGGCAGGCTGACAACAAATGTGGAGTTATTTAAGAGGACAAGTAGGAAGGGGCAACAGAGAGCGTCGGTATGGTGTGCTCAGAAAAAGAGTGAGAGACTCTTAAACAGTCTTTAGAAATGCTGAGCTCTGTGTATGAGGGAATACCACTGGTACAATGGGGCTGGGCTGGGGGCATGGAGAATGCAGCCGCAAAGAAGCAGAGGAGTTAGCTTATGTCTAACTACAGACTTGATGTCAACACCGTACACACCTTTGTGCACGGGCCCTGCGTGCTGTGCAGCATACATTATCCACATTATACTCACTATTTTACGTAACTATGGGACAACCCGCTATGTCAATCAGACAACCCAAGACTGTAGGCTCCCTGAGGGCAGGAGACACATCTGCTTTATTTTGGCCCGACATTGTCAGTACCCAGCAAAATGCTTAATACATACTAAATGCCCCCTAATAGATGAACTGAACGGACAAGTGAACTCATCGATGGACACATGCAAATTCATGTGGTGGCAAGTGTTTGCCATGTTTGCCATATCTCATGACATTCTCACTCAAGTCAAGGCTGATGCATAGTGACCTTTTATGGGGAGTAGAGAGTCAGTCTTTCTGCCAAGGAAGTGCTGGTGGTTTCGAGCTACTGACCATGCGGATCGCAGCCTAACATGTAACCGCTACACCATCAGGGCTCCTCTGATAAGACATTAGCAAGGCACAAAGAGTGTGAGGCCATAATCCTGGGCAGCAAGCAGAACCCCAAGTCCCTCTCTTTGACAGGGCTCTTTGACAGACACACAAGGGCTACGTGTGTCTATTTTACACAAGTCTGAAAGTGAGGTAGGGGCCCCCACCTGCTGATCCTCAGGGCCCTGGAAGCCCATGGGTGTGGTCTGGATGCTACCATAGCCCCCCTGGATGCCCTCAGATCATTGCTTCTCTTTCCCCTCACCAAAAACCTTTTGCTTCGCTTACATGTCTAAGATGACCCCATTTTAGGAGATAACTGGTCCTGGAAATCTAGCCAGAGAGAAGCCCGGGTAAGATCGTCGAACTACAAAACAGAAAGCAACTGCATTTCACGATGGGAAGTAGAGCTCGGTTCCCATCAGGCATTCAGCGAGGCGGCCGGGGACCTTCTTGTCACCTTCTTAGTCATTCCTTCATCTCTCTGGGCACCCAGAAGTCAGGTCCCCAGGCCTCCGTGGGAAGAACACTCAGGGTTCTCACCCTGGGCCTCTCCTCTGCTCCCATGGCCAGCTATCACCGGGAGTTCGCTTGGTAAACATTTGCAGTTAGATTGGAAGAAGGCACCGCCTCCAGCCTTTTTTACAGATTTTCTTTTCTTTTTTTGGAACAAGTAGCAGAGTCACAGAAAACCTAGAATTAGGTAAGAAAGCTAAATGCCCCAGAGAATTGGCAGAGTGCTAAAACAGAGCCTGGAAAACAATCGCGGTGTAAAACAGAAGAAAGGACACTCACACATCCAAGAAAATAAACCCCTCTTTCTTAAAATTCTTTTAAAAAGATGAGTATTGAGATCCAGTCGGAGCCCTGAACTCCCACTTCTGAAGCTGTCGCTCAAAAAAAAATTTTTTTTATCCACAAACCACCAATGAGTAAATAGCCTTCACATTCCTACCCGCACACAGAAAGTAAGCCATTTACTCTGATAAACAGCAATTGTAAACAAATCTCATTTAATCTCCAAAAGCCACAATAAAATCTTTCACCTCCAAGGCAGAGTACAAATGGGTCTGCGTGCACTGCCGGCGCCAGAGGAGAATGCAAGGTCTTGAGCAAACTCCTCTCACAAGAGGCACGTTTTCGCTCAAGCATCTTCCATTGACCTTTTTTAAAAAAAGTGCTAGGAGGAGGAAAGGGGACAGCCCCAAGCCCTCCCACCCCATTCTTTGTACAAATCGGCCAATAAATCTGAGGAAAAGACACAAGAGGAAAGGACAGAAGCCAACAGGTGGAAAAAGGCTTTTTGTTTCCTTAGACATGCTCCGACACTTGATCTGTGCTCCCCGGCTCTATCTGTCTCGGGGTCTTCAATCTGGGCTCCCCGGCTCTATCTGTCTCGGGGCGTCTTGAAAGATGGTTTTATCAGCATCGTCATCATGATCAAGAAGGAGCTCACTTCTACTTGGGTCTGCACAGCCTCTCCCAGCCCGGGGCTGCGCCCGGCGTTTCCGACCGGCGAGCTGGTAGGTGGCGAAATTCCAGGATGGCACGCAGCATCCCCAACCGGCTCACGTCCGCTCGCTCCCGCTTTCTCCTCTCCCCCTCTTTCCCCCCCGCTCCAGCGCAGGTGGGGAAACGGAGGCACGGAGCACCCCCCAACTCCTTTACAGGATCTGCGACCGCAGAAATCCCCGAGATGGGAAAAGTTTCCGGATTGTCTGGCGGACCGAGAGTTCTCCCGCTCGCCCTTCTCGCCTTGGCCATGCCGCCCTGCCGCGGGGAGTCCGGGGTCGGGTGCTAGCGCTTGGGGTGCCTCCCCTTCGCCAGGAGACCCGCCAGGGCAATGCGTGCGGAGTCCACACGCGCGCGCACACGCACACACACACACACACACACCGCTCGAGGCGACGTCTGCAGTCGACGGCAGAGCCCCGCCGGCCAGGGGGCTCCGCCTGGGAAGGCGCCGCGCGGAGCTTCCAGGCCGCCCCGGGCTCCGGGCTCCGGGCTGGGGCTCCGCCGGGGGAGGGCTGTGCCCGGCTCTCCTTCCCTCCCAGGCTGCTCTCGCTCGCTCGCTCCCGCCCTCCTCCCACCCCTCTCCATGCACCCCTGCTCCCCCAGCAACCACAGGCACAGATCGTGTTACTGGGGTTCCCTCGAAAGAGGGGCCATCCCCAGCCCGGAGCGCCTTGAAAGACTTCCAGGGGCATCGCGGGAGCGCCAATCGCAGGACCCCAGCGCTCCTCCCGGGCAGCGCAGGAGTGAGACCCCCGCTTGCAGGCACGGGCGAACCAGCCTGCCACAGAAGAAGGAATTGTTAGGGCGCTTACCTTTTTTTATGAGGAGAAATTCTAGAGAATCATTTCACAAACTGAGGGGGGAAAGTGAATGAAGACAAAAAAGACCCTTTTCCTGCAATCCCTGGCCTCCTGGTATCAAGACACTAGGACAACATCAAAGCAACTTAGGGGGAACACTTTAGGGGCCTATTGTCTGCTCTGGTCTGATCTGTTTTTCTTCTGACTCCCCCTCTTGCTGCGGTGACACTTGGTACGGCCCAGGCATTCATGCCAAGTAGCTTTCACACATGGAAGCTTGTCTCAAGCAATTGCTGACAAGCCACAAACAAGACATTCTCCCTCCCTTCTCCGCACCCCCTCCTCCCCCTCCCCCCTTCCCTCCCTCTCGCCTTGTCTCCCCTCCTCCTTTCTTCTGAATGCAAACTAAAACTCTCCAGTGACAGGCAGGCTCACAGGCCTGGCCTAGCTGCGCAGACACACACACACACACACACACACACACACACACACGCAAGCAGCTCAGCTAGTTGCTGCTGCCCTCGTGGAGTTAAGAGACAGGAAAAAGCCCAGGCTGAGTTGGGGGCAGGGAAAGCCAGCCAGGGAGAGGCTGGGCGTGAGAACCGCCTCCTGTGTCCTGGTAAAATGGCAGAAGAGAGGTGAGCCCTTTGGAAAAACAGCAGTGGCCACACACGTGTGCACACAGACACGCAGGCAATCTGAGCGTCAGGAGGAGTGAAATAAATGGCCCGACAAAGGGAAAAGCCAAGCTCAATCATCTAGGGGTTGAGGGCGTGGGGAGATAAGAAGGTGGGGGCACCCAGGGATGGGGCTTCTGCTGAAGGTTGAGGTGGCTTTTATTTTTCTTCCTTTTTACCGGAGGAAAAAAACCCCAAATTGTTCCCTAAGGCCCCCGTCTTTCTTCACTGTATAATTGAGCGTAGACCCGAGCTACTAGTTGAAACAAAACCATTAACGTGTAAATGTGTGAGCAAACTAAACCATGGGTTCCCCTTGTACCCGGGATATTTTTAAAGTGGAGTTGTGCGTGTGCGTGTGTGCGCGTGTATGTTTAGCAGAAACCCTAGAGAGCAGTAGCAAGGAGAGTAGTAACAAGTGGCGTCAACCATGAGAGCTGTGAAGTGTGATGGTAACGTTACTGATTGCCAGGCTGCTGGAATTTATGGAGGGTGGGCACTGCTGGGGAGCGGGGAGCTGTTTTCTAGGAATGAGAGGGAAATGAGGTAGGATAATGAGTAGGGCCAGAAGGGAGCTGCGAGTTGATTGGTGTGGAAAGAGGCAGAAGGTGAGGGGGTGCGGGAGAGGAAGGGGGTTGGGGAAGGCTCATCAGGTTAAAAAAGCAGAGGAAAGATGGAGCCCAGGGCTGGCAGCATGCGGAGTAAATGAGATGGTCAAGGGAGGTGTAAATGGGAGCGAAGAGGACCACCAAGAGTGTGCACGGCTGCAGATGGCACGAACTTGAACTCAGAGGGAGGCCAGCAGAGGTTCTGTAGAAGGGCAGCCGGTGAGATGATGTTCATGTTTGGGGCCTGTTACAAAGGCAGGGACGTCACAGGGTCCCCTCCGCCTACGTCAGGCTCTCGCTGCCCGCGAGTCCATTACCCCGCTGCGGCAAGGATCTGAATCCAGCCCAGGTACTAACTGGCAGGCTGGGCTAGTTTTGTGGTTTTGTAGGAAGGTCGGCCCTAGAACGCAGACTCTTCCTTCACAAAATGGAAAACAGGTGAACGCGCATCACCCAGTCTTTTGTAAGAGTCCCCAACCTCAAGACGAAGGAGTCAATTCAACTCTGAGCGAACCTGTAGGACAGAGTAGAAATAGCTGGTAAGGGGCCCAAGGCTGTCGTTTTTTTGGTTTTTTCTTAATAGAAGCGGTCTGTCTCCTCTTTCTCACGGGGAATCCCAGTGGATTCGAACTGCTGACCATTTGGGGTTAGTGAGCACGTTAGCCACTGTGCCACCAAGGCTCCTTTTATAGGAGTGCTTGTTGTTGTTGGGTGGACTCAAGGCAGTTTCAGCCCATAGCGACTCTTTGTACAAACAGAACGAAGCATCCCACGTCCTACGCCATCCTCACAAAGGGTCTTATATTGAGTCCGTTGCTGCAGCCACCGTGGCAATCCATCTTGTGCAGGGGCTTCCTCTTTTTTGCTGCCCCTCTACTTTTACTAGGAATGATGTCATCCAGGGACTGGCCTCTCCTGATAACATAGCCACAGGAGGGCAGGAAGGACTAGATTATGACCTTTCACACTTCCAATTCAAACTCACTGCCCTTGAGTCAAGTCCAACGGATAGCAACCCAATAGAATGACCCTGTGGGTTTCCAAGACTATAACTCTTTACTGGAATAAAAAGCCTCGTCTTTCTCCCTTGGTTCGGCTGGTGGTTCGGAACTGCTGACCTTGCAGTTAGCAGGCCAACACATAACGCACCTCCAGGGCTCCTTCCTTTTATATTTGGTAGAAATGGCTAGAGCTCACCACTTCAGAGACACATCCTTGTTCCTGCTATCTTTTCCCCTTAGTTGGTTTCTCCATTACCACTGATCCCTAGAACTGTCTGTCCTCACAGCGCCCACTAATAATGATAACAATGCATTTTATGCAAATAATGTATATGTTATGCAATTCTTGCAAACCACACAACCCTCTCGTGTGTTAGTTCCCTATTCGTGCTTTGCATGTCATATGTGTGTGCTCATTATTTACATGGGCTCATTATTTGCCAAAAAATACAGCAATTACTTTTTATTATTTACTTGATTCTAGGCAGTTTCCCAAGCATTTCTATCATGAGGTCATTTCTATTAATGCCATCTCCACTTAAAAACAGAAAAAGAGACCTCCTGTCATTGAGTCAACGCCAACTCCTATTGACCCTGTACAAGGCAGAGTAGAACCGCTCCTTAGGTTTCTGAGACGGCACGTCTTTACAGAAGCAGGCAGCCTCAGCTTTTTCCAGCTGCGCAGCTGGTGAGTTTGAACTGCCAACTTTGTGAGTAGAAGTCCAATGCTTAGTCCGCTCTTCCACCAAGGTTCCCAACTCCATTTACAGATGATAAAAATGAGGCACAGAGAGGTTAAGTACCTTGTCTGGGGTAACAGCAAGATAGAGGTGGAACGGAAATCAGATTCAAGTCGGTCCCAGCATTTATCTACTGTATTATGCTCTCTCACTCAGGCAACCCAGTTTCTCCATGATGAGCCAATTTGAAGCTGTCAAACCGCATGCTGTTTCTTTCTGCACCGCACGGCTGGGTTTGGGTCTTCTCACTCTGAGCCAGGGAACTTTTTGACCTCCCCTTAGCAGGCTGCTGACTCACACTATCCGTTTCTAAGTGGTGGTGACTCACTCTATATAATGAAGCCCCCTAAGCAAGAATTGCATAAAAGGTCAACTTACCCTTTACTGGCAGCACAATTTACAGGCAATGGAGAAAACCAGCTAGGACCAAGCAGGTTCCTCTTCCTTAAGAAGAAAGACACTAAACTAAAGACCCCCACAGAGTGTTGTGTCTGATGGCAACAGCTGTGATTGATGAAGCACACTTATTTCATAACTCCCTAAGATATAATCACCATTGCCCCCATTCTCTAGTCAGGGGTCCTCAAACTTTTTAAACCGGGGGCCAGTTCACTGCCCCTCAGACTCGTTGGAGGGCCGGACTATAGTTTAAAAATAAACTATGAACAAATTCCTATGCATACTGCACATATCTTATTTTGAAGTAAAAAAACAAACGGGGCAAAAACACCTGGCGGGCCAGATAAGCAGGCCATAGTTTGAGGACACCTGCAAGAAGCTGAGGCACAGAAGGTCTGTAACCTGCAAGGTGACTGGGCTGGGAAATAGTGCCGGGGTCTGGTCACAAGTAGTCTTTCTCTCCAGAATGTATGCTCTCCACCACGACACTCTATTGCTTTGGGAGCAAAAGGAGCGCTTTGACTATTAGAGGGAAAATCTCAGTGAGACAGAAGGAGAAAGAGACCATCATAACCCTAACATGCACTGTTTCATAACCCTAAGATGCACTGTTGTTTCACTCATGAGTAACTAGTGAAGAAGAGAGCGTGTGCCAGGGCCCTCGGGCAGCCCTGGTTTTCCAATTCCTCAGTAGTCCCACTTGACAGAGCACCGAAACTCTTGCGCCTTTGGTTCAGACCACATTGGTAGGAACACCAAGGCAGACGATCTTGTCCCCAGAACCAATGGCTTCCACCTGCCAAGTCCAAAGAGAAAAAAAAAAAGAAAAGCAAATTCAAGTGGCTAAGTGAACAAGGCCACGAGCAAGGGCGATACATGAGTCTTTCTAAGTATATTTCACAAGACTTCTGAATGCTGCATGTGGAGGGTAAAAAGAAATGCACTTGAGTCTAAGGCAGAGGTTCTCAACCTGTGGGCCACAACCCCTTTGGGGGTCAAACAACTCTTTCACAGGGGTCGCCTGCTTCATAACAGTAGCACAATTATAGTTATGAAGTAGCAATGAAGATAATTTTATGGTTGTGGGGGTCACCACAACCTGAGGAATTGTATTAAAGGGTCGCGACAGTAGGAAGGTTGAGAACCACTGGTCGATGGGAACAAGATCTAGATTCTTATGCGGGCTCCACCATTCATCAGATATGTGAACCCAGGCCTTGGTCTCTGACCATTAGGAAGGAGTGGCTCATAGTAGCCCAGGAACTCTTTCCAGCTCAAAATGCTGCCATCCTAAAAAATGTCCGGAAACTACACGGGAAAGCCTTGAAACCAAGGGAGGTCAGTGAGGAGGTGTGTATTTTTACACAAGCAGGAGTATGCGGGCTGGAGGCGGGTGGTGTCTTGAAGGGATAAGCAAGCAAGCCCTTATTTGGGCTGCTTGCTCTCATGGAAGCAGCACACGGGTGGTGCCATCCAATAGGTCAGAGGTTCAAACAAACCAGCTACAAGGCCACTTCCATAAAGATGACAGCCGCTCTACTGGGTTCTGTGGAGTTTCTGGGCATCAGAATGGAGTCGTCAGTACACAACAGCAACCAACACGACTTGAACAACGGTTCACCCCATTGTGTGTGAGGTCAAGGGGAGGAGCTGACTGGACAGAGCCAACAGCAACAATCCACATTACAGCACACCTGCTCCCCAATACCTTCTACAGAACAGCTGTCCCCCCTTGGTCTGTTTTCTCTGTAAGAGTGCCTTCCAATTACACGTGTACTTGCCACGTTAATTATATTTGAAAAACAGGAACACCTCTAGCAC